TATATGTATGGATGTATATATGTATGTATGTATCTATGTATGTATGTTTGTATGTATGGATGGATGTATATATGGATGGATGTATATATGTATGGATGTATATATGTATGTATGTATCTATGTATGTATGTATGGATGGATGGATGGATGTATATATGTATGGATGTATATATGTATGTATGTATCTATGTATGTATGTTTGTATGTATGTATGTATGTATGTATGGATGGATGTATATATGTATGGATGTATATATGTATGTATGTATCTATGTATGTATGTATGTATGTTTACTGTTTGTTAAGCCACTTAAAATTAAACCATAAACCTTTCAAGCTATAAAAATACCTAACTTTCAAAAAAATAATTTGTGCAGAAATAAAAGACAATAAACTTTATGTATGTATGTTCAAAGTTTTTTGTCATTCGCATCACATGTAGTACATGAGTTGAATGAAACTACTCAAGGTCCCAATTACACCCAATGTATTTTGTTTCTGATGACCTAATCAATTAGGACGGTGTTAATTGACTTACCAGACAAACAAACAATAAACTCGTTTTTCAGTAATCAGTCAGGTACAAGAAAGGTCTAAAAATTGGTTAAAAGATGTAAAAAAAAAAAGAAAAAAGAAAGACCTTCAAAAGTCCTAATACCTCTCGTTTATCACCAATTTAACGTGGTACAAAAAGTCTGGCTCATTAAAAGCAAAATATAATATTTCTGTTCTTTATGATTTAAAATCAGAGTACTTAAATGTAAATGCAGTTGCTCAATAAACAGCTGTTTCTTGATTTTTCTAGTTTTCTTTAAACCATATGTTGAAAAACATTTTTTTTCTCTCTCAAAATTACTAAATATTTCATCTTTAAATGAGAACAAGAACCAATAAACAGGAAATAAAGTACCAGACTGATACATAGTTTGTAAAAGTGTTGCTCGTCAAACATTAGTTGTATTTGTTGAACTGAACAAGTCTTTACTCATTTGGAGTAAAGATTTTAGCCAAACTCTGGCTCTGTCACGAGTTAGAGAGGAGCAGGATCGTTGTGTTGTCACAATGACCAATGAAAGGTGGTGCATATTTATTTTTCGATGTGTTTCAGGTACTCTGACAGCATGATCGAGACTCTGGAGATCTTAGACGGTGATGAGAAGATTGACCTGGACCTGATCCTGGCACTGATCCGTCATATTGTGCTCAATGAGGGGGTGAGCGTCGTCTTGTCTCTGGTGTTTAGTGCTGTCTTTCTTAGAGAGGAAATTTGTCCTCTGGTAGAAGATTGCATTTCAGGCAACCTGCTATAGCTGAGCATATCCAAGCTTCTGCCACTGGAACTCGCCTTGAGGATTTTCAGGTTTATGTTCATGTATATGCTAATCTCTGAGTATTCTTAGCTCAGACCGAGCAGGGTAACGCATAGACAATGGGTTCAGCTTAATTAAAAGTTAATAGGTGCCACAGATGCTTAAGCTGACAAAAGGAGATAGTACTGTATAGCAAAGCAGATGGAAGGAGCAGGGCTAGCTTCCAATCACAGAGTGACATCAGATCAGAGAAAATGACACATCCTGGCAGCAAATCTGTGCTAATGAGTGATCGAACAGATGCTCTCCCTCGGCGCGTTCGTTTTCTTTGTTCTCCTTCCAGTTCTTGTCAAGTTTCCTCCTTTTATGTCGGCATCATTTCAGTGCTTCGTTCGCAGAATGTCATTAACAGCGTTGCTTATTGTCAATACTGGGAGGAGAATAATGAATGTGAGGACAACTTGTGCACATCAATGCCAGAAATGAGGGACAGGAAATGACATGAACGCATTTAGCTTCACTGTATGAAACTAGTTTTACTGTTCTTGTATGTTTGTGTAAAAGGTATAGAGGAGGGGAGGTGACCGAGGAGTGATTAACTCGGACAGACAGAGTAATTACCTTTGCTATATGGAGGCATAACTCTATCAGTCACGGCAGCAGTCAACCCCTCCACCGGCTGATTCGCCATGGCATTGTCAACATCTGAGCGTGACTCGACTGATTCGCCATGACGCCGCTCCAAACCAAGAGTACAGTCCATCTGTCAGGCCTTTGACCGTGATGATTGGTTAATTATATCAAAGAGGCCTATGATTAGCTCTTGGCGAGGGGCGGGGCTTGACATGCAGGCATTAATGAGTGCCTGTGAGGTGCAGAGCTGTACGTAGGTGGAACTTAGGGTACTTTTGTTGCTGAAAAGCAGGCAAACACAACACAGCTTACTCTTCTGTTTTATTATTATTTTCCCCTTGAATTAATCTGCCTCTTTGTATGTTGCATGTGCACATTCATGCATTTGCGACATGCTGTATCTACTGTCTGCAGGCACACTGCTTCTTGAACACACACAGTCCCAAGTGGGTGCCGGTGTTTGATCGCTCATAATAATTAGGTTTAATTAACAGGCATGAATACTTGCGGCTCTGAACTTGAGCTCCTTTTCATTTCTCCCAGGTAATCATTAATTATTCTTTAAAAAATGTGGGTTATGTTATGCTTAATTTCATTTTGAGAATAAGTTGAGTTTTTTATGCACTAGGAAATAAATGGTTTACAAAGATTTAGCTCAGATTTCTGAAAGTACACCAAAGTCATTCATTAATCTTGAGTTTGTTTGTTTTTAATGCTACTTCCCAGTGCTTAACTTGTAAACCAAACGATGCCGGAACATAAATAGCGATGTGAGACCAGGTTCACTGAGGCCAACACTGGTACCGGAACACACACAACAGAAATTAGGCACACAAATGTCAATATACCAAAGCAATTAATATTTATAATTTACTTTTAAAAGCTTTATGTGTAATTTATAATTGTAATCTATTAAGCGCAGGATCTTTTCTCACCTTACTACGGTAGTTGTTTAGCATGCTCCACTTCTCACGCATCCTAACACCCCCAACCCCCACCCATCCCTCCAGCTCCTGCAGGTAAGGGGCGTTTCACTTCAGGACAAATTGAGATTGCTGATTGGTCAGTTGCTGGCAAGCCTACTGGACTGATTGACAGGTGGCATTGAGGATCTGACTCATGCAAAAAAATCATAGATTTTGGCTGCACGATGGATCAATGGTTAGCACTGTCGCCTCACAGCAAGAATGTCCTGAGTTCAATCCTTGGTTGGACCTGGAATCTTTCTGTGGAGTTTGCATGTTCTTCTCGTGCTTGCGTGGGTTTTCTCTGGGTACTCCGATTTCCTCCTGCAGACCATAAACAAGCATGTTAGGCTGCCTTCAGACCCTGGTCTCCCTTGCAAAAGAGATCTGTGATCTCAGTGGGATTTGCCTGATTAAATAAAGGTTAATAAATAAATAAATAAATAAGATTTTACTGGCCCGTTTGTGTCATAATTTATTCCATATTCAATATTTTTGGTGAATCTAAGTTTTAAGACTTAAGCTTCTTTACATAACTTTATTAGTAGTAAGCCTGAGAGTTACCGGATCCAAGCAAACAGTTACTGGAATGCACCCTGTCAAAGTAAGAGCGTTCTCAGATCCAGTTTCAGATGGATCTGGTTCAAATTAAGCCCAGCTACTTCCTTAAAAAGATTGTCAGTTTTCAATTGATTTTATCGATTAAAAAAGAAAAAAAACTTTTTAGTACTTTTTTCTAAAGCCCCTTCACATAGAAGGTGGCAAGTAAATGGTAAATGGACTGTACTTATACAGCGCCTTTCTATCTTATTTCAAGATATTCAAAGCGCTTTACACTACAATCTGTGTCCTCATTTAGCAATTCATGCAGCACTCTACTAGATCTCTACAAAGCTAATTGACAAATCATTCTAAAGAGACTAATCAGAGATTTAGATCACATTCATACACCGATGGGACACACATCAGAGGCTATGAGGGGTAACGTGTCTTACCCAGGGACACTTCGACATTTGACTGCTGGTGGATTCGAACTCCCAACTCTCGCACTGGAGGACGACTGCTCTAACCACACAGCCGCCCCGTGAGGCATTAAGTGCAGCTTGCTGTTCTGTGGGCCGTGTCTGAGTTAAAAATGTGTTCAAACTGGGGTTCAGCACACAGAGCTGCCACCATTGCACGTCCAGTCAAACGATCACACACAAAAACAGAGGCGTTTGTGTGTGTGTGTGTGATGTTTTCCTGCAACAATCAGATCTACGGAGTTTTCAGCTGAAGAATTCTCCTTGTGGAGGGCTTGACCAAACATCCTCTGTAGATTTTTACATAAACCAGACTGAGTCTGTTAATTGATAATGAGCACACTTTTGTTCAGATTTGAACTTCCCTGTGTTTTGTTGCTGCAGAACAGCTGCTTGTGAGCGGTCCAGCTTCTAAAAGTTACCTGACAATAATTTTACTTACCTACAAAAGAAAACACTTACATTGTACATACATTGACTTTTCATTTAAAAGCGTATGTGTTTCACTTTTAGTCTGTACACATCTACAGTACAAACTACTGGTGGATGTGATTTTATACCGGATGGACTGACACATTATCCATTTGCAGGCCTTTTTTAAACTGATGTGCAGAGATTTTCTCACACAGTTACTATTAAAATCTTTTTTTTTCTCAGCCAACATTGGTGTACTTGTGTTATTCCACAAAGCTGATTTTTTATTTTTTTATTTTTTTTTACTTTTCCTGCTGTGGAGAAAAACGATGCTGTCATGATGATGTTGGCGACATGTTCCAGGGCTCTTTGTGTGGCTGAATGTGGAGGATGGAAGCTGTGGGCAAGTCAGTTCTGTTTGACTCAGCTCCTCCAAGGACTCAGGCACCTTCTTTATCTGTTTGTGTACTAGTTATTTGTTACTGTCAGCAGTTTCTATTTCCCACCCCCCATGTTCACAATGGCTCACAAATCATTTATTTGGCAGGAAGGTGCTATCTTGGTCTTCTTGCCAGGTTGGGACAACATTAGTGGTCTCAATGACCTGCTAATGGCCCAGCAGATGTTCCGATCAGGTAGGGGAGCCTGTGTTGTCTTTATTTTTTTGCATTCTACTTTTTATAAAACCTACAAAGTACATACATTAAACAGTCAGCAGAAGGACAGTGTTTCAGGTTCTTTGTGAGGTCTTTGCTGGATGATTTTCTGTTACTTAAAGATAAAAAGATCAGTGCTATTCAACTAAACTACTCAGGGAGCCACAGTTTGAAAGCCAGCAGCTCAGGGGCCAAACATCCAGCGATTAAAGTCATTATGTAAATAAACCAAGTATTACAATGATCAGTTACCTTTTAAGTTTGTTTATTTTATTGCATTGAATCATAAATGCAATAAGCAGAACTCAAACCCAGACTCCCCCCAAACAATTATATATATATATATATATATATCAGAGTCAGAGATTCTTTATTGTTGTTCACAAATTTGTGTACACAGGGTCCTAGTTACATCCAATAATAAAATGTAAAAGGAAAACAATGATAACATCTAAGATATGAACTAAGAAAAACATCAACTAAAAATACACTAAGCACTAATAGCATAAAAACACTATGTTGAACATATCCTGATGCATGCTCAATAATCCAGGTAGAAAAATCTAAGAAAGTTAAGTCTGGTCCTCTGGATATTCAAAAAAACAAAACAAACTTAAAAAAAAAAAAAAAAAAAAGTAGAAACGTTTTGTCTTTCATCCGAAAGACTTCTTCAGTCTGAGGTGCTGTATTCAGCTCAGTCTTATAAATAGCACATTTACATTTGCTGCTGACAGCCAAAACTAGCTGTTCACATGATCAAGGAATATCCTTGATCCTTGATAGATGCACAAATAATAATTTCTCTATAAAAGTTTCATTAAAATCTGTCTCTTGGTTTATGAAATATTTTGCTAAAACATTAAACACACATACACAAACCATTACATCATTTCCCACCTTTCAGCAGTATCTTTAGCTAACTGAAGCGTTGCTTGACATATCCTTCCTTCTTTGTGTGTTCTGTTGTGTTTCAGATAATTTTGTAATCATACCTTTGCACTCGCTCATGCCTACTGTTAATCAGACGCAGGTCAGTATTTTCTGTGTGCAACATTTTGTCATGTTTATTTTCATTGTTTTTTTTTATATCAAAGATATTTTCTAACTTTTCAAAACCTCTCAGGTATTCAAAAGACCTCCACTTGGAGTCAGAAAGATTGTTATTGCTACTAATATTGCAGAGACCAGGTGGGTATGTGAGTGTGATTTATTTTTTAGCCATTTTTTAAAATAATTATTTTTAGATTGTCTTTTTAGGAGTTGTTTCTCTAGCAAAAACAAGAAAAGAGTAAAGTTTATCAATCCTCTCGTGTAATTGTGCTTTCCGTGTGTGTTTGCCAGTAAAATGCAGCCGTTTCAAGTCATTATTGGGAAGAGCAGATTTGAAGCTAATTAGCATACATTTCTTGGATTGATTACAAATGCTGGCACGTTGGCTTGGAGGGGAAACTCTCAACAGGCAATTTGTTAATGGATTTACTAAGCCCTGCTGCTCTCACACAAACTGAGCCTCACCCCAAATCACTCCACTAAATGCAGACTCCAACTCACACCAAAGGGCTACGATTAATCATTTTCCTGTTGAACGATTGCGTTTAAGATTCTTTACTAAATCTACTTGACTGACCCCTTTAAAGTGCGAGTGAGGTTATTTGTTTCAATTCATTTGTGACCTGCTTGTCTTCCTCCCAGCATCACCATAGATGATGTTGTTTATGTGATCGATGGAGGCAAGATTAAGGAGACCAACTTTGACACCAACAACAACATCAGCACGATGACAGCTGAGTGGGTCAGCTTGGCCAACGCCAAACAGAGGAAAGGACGCGCAGGCAGGTTCGTTTGGGACGTCTGAAACGAGAGTGTGCTTTAAGATATTTTCATTCAACCTTTATTTATACGGGTTAATCCCATTGAGCCTTGGGGACTCATTTACAAGAGAGACCTGAATGTTAGAATAATTCATCAGAAATAATCAGTCAGGAGTCCAGGATTCCATCAATCCATCCATCATCTTCTGCTTGTTCTGAAGTCAGGTCTTGAGGGGCAGCAGCTTGAGCAGGGAGGTCCAAACATCTCTTTCCACAGCCACCTCTTCCAGCTCTTCTGGGAGGACTCCAAGGCGTTCTCAGGCCAACTGAGAGACATAGTCTCTCCAGCGTGTCCTGGGTCTTCTCCTGGGTCTCCTCCCAGTCGAACATGCCCAGAGAACCTCCCCAGGGAGGGGCCCAGGAAGCATCCTTACCAGATGCCTGAACCACCTCAACTGGCTCCTCTCGATGTGGAGGAGCAGCAGTTCTACTCGGAGTCTCTCCCAGATAACTGAACTTCTCACCCTAACCCTCTAAGGGAGAGTCCAGCTACCCTGCTGAGGAAACTCATTTCAACCGCCTGTATCCACAGTCTCATTCTTTCAGTCACTACCCAGAGTTCGTGGCCATAGGTGAGGGTAGGAACAACTGATAGGTAAACAGAGAGCTTTGCCTTACAACTCAGCTCCCTCTTTACCACAGCGGACCGGCACAGAGTCCACTATACTGTAGACACTGCACCAATCCATCTGTCAATCTCACACTCCATCCTTCCCTCACTCATAAACAAGTCCACCATTGAAGTTTGATAAAAATGTATTAAACTTTTAAGGAGAGAGATATACATCAGATATATCCCTTACATCCAAAATGAACAAACACCCTCAGATTCTAACACAGTCTCATCCTTTTGACAACGAGCAACATCTCTCCAACATCAACTCATAGAGACAATTATTTATACATTTCCAGCTGAACCAAGCTGAAGAAGGATTTCCAGCCAGCAGACACTCATGATTATTTTGGCATGTCCAGCTGAAGAGTATGCAACTGTTTAAATGGTCAAATATGAAGTAAACAGACAAAATATTGTGACTCGGTACAAAGTTAACAGAGTAGATAAACATCCTGACCTATAATCCTTTTTCTCTCAATGCCTAACTCTAATCTAGGAGGATTATTTATCCTTCAGTTTGCATCCAGGCTTTCCATCACCGTACATCCCCGTCTGTAAACACCAAAAGAGTTAAAGTTCAGTCCCTCCCAGGTTATTTTCAGTGTGTGACTCGAACCGCCTGCTCTGTTAGATGCTCTGACATCAAAGTACTGCAAGGCCCAATTAGCAGGAGCTGCTCACAGCGCACAGTTTCATCCCACTGATTTTTCAAATTAAACCCTTGTCACAGGACTGGTCTAACATGTAATCTATTTTTTTTCCCTTCTTTCTTTTTTTTCCCTACATATATCCAGAGTGCAGCCAGGAAAGTGCTACCACATGTACAACGGGCTCAGGGCCAGCCTGCTGGATGCCTATCAATTACCTGAAATTATGAGGACGCCACTGGAGGAGCTCTGCCTGCAGATAAAGGTTGTGTTGAAAGGGGAGAAGGAGGGATACAGAGTGACAGAGGGGTGAAGGATTGATTTGGCTCCAGGGTTGAGGTGTGGACTAGATTGGTCCAAATGAATTGGGGTGAAGCAGGGCAGCAAGGAGCCAAAGGCAGTGCTGGATATTTGCCTGTGTTGGCTTAATAAGGGCTCAGATTGAGCATTCCAGCCTGATTTGTGCCCCTTGTCCCACTCTTTTTCTCTTATTTACAACAATTTAATTATGTCTCGTCTCATACAGTAGATTTCTTTTTTGGCACAGCCCCTCCCTCGTCCTTTTACCATCTCTTTTTAAATCCTCATAGTCCACTCCGAAAATGGTTGCTAATGGAACAAAAAGCCAAAGTTCATCCAGTCCCAGTGTTTGCTGTGATCATCCTCATTGGTGACTTTATTGTACATGCTTTCCAGCGCGAGTCTTCCACCAGCTCAGTTAAATCTGTTGGAGTGTGTGTTTAATGTAGTTGGTTGTTTTAAGCTGGTGGGTGAGAGGGGGACTAATGCATCACATCAGCCTTTAAAGTGAGAAACACTTAAAACATGTCGGGTTCTGAGCTGAATCTCTAATGCACAGACACTCCAGCCTCACCCCTTTGTCATCCGACGAGTGAAAATGTGCTTCTTTCTGCTTTCGTTTGGACAATTAAAATGAAAGTCTGTTTTTTTTTATGTGGAATGAGTGCACTGTAGGTGAATGGTCACAGAATCGACTCTTGTCTGAATTGTTCTGCATTCAGCTCTTAATGAAGCATAAAAGTGGTTTTGTTCAAATGTTTGAAGTCACACATCTCATAAATGACAACATGAGCGAGTTTTGTCTCTCACTACAGACTTGTACACATCAGTGCACTATCCACAGTTTGATGCTTTCTTTCAAAATGATGAAATATGATTCTAACTAGATGAAATGTGATTGGACACCGTGTAGATATTGAAGCTTGGATCCATAAGTCGATTTCTGGAAAAAGCCCTGGACCCGCCCACTGATAAAGCCGTTGGCCTCGCCATCAAGAACCTCACAGACCTGGTAAGACATAGTGTAAATATTTTATTGGGTTTCATATGAGTTTTTATATTTAATGATGCAAAACTGCAGCAAATACTGATAAATTTAACCGATTATTCTTGTTTTCATTTTATTTCATTGTAATGTAAAAAAAAACAGGAGAAGAGGCTCCTGTTCAGTCTGGCTTTTTAGTTGAATTTAGTTTTAATCAGGCAGCATGGTGGTACAACTGGTAGAGCTGCTGCCTCTCAGCGAGCAGGTTCCTGGTCCAAATCCTAGTCCAGGGGCCTTTCTGGGTGGAGTTTGCATGTTCTCTCCGTGCATGCGTGGGTTTTCTCCGGGTACTCCGGTTTCCTCCCACAGACCAAAAACATGCATCTTAGGCTGATTGGTAACTCTAAATTGTTTCTAGGTGTGAGTGAGAGAGTGAATGGTTGTTTGTCTCGTTTGTCTCTATGTGGCCCTGTGATGGACTTGCGATCCGTCCAGGGTGTACCCCGCCCCTCGCACACTGATTGCTGGACATGGGCACCGGCGACCCCCGTGACCCAAAATGGAAGAAGCGGGTAAAAGATAATGGCTGGATGGATGGATAGTTTTAATCATTATTTATTCTCAAATGCTAATCTTATGGTCATTTTATCTACTTGCTTTTTATACTTCCCATTTTTACTTTTAATTGATTTTAGTTTAATTTCCTTTAATTATTTAAATTTCATTCTGTGTTCATTAATTCTTTCCTTTTTTGACAACGAATTTTATTTTTTATTTACATTTATTTACATTTTTAATCAGTTTTGTTTTTATGAAAATGTAGGATTGTCAAAGTTCATGCCCAATAATCCAGATTTTAAAAAATCCAACAATTTTCAGTCAGGTCATCTGGACGGTTTCTTTTTTTTTTTTTTTGTTGAGACATTTCGTCCTTTATCCAAAGGACTTCATCAGTCCAAGGAGCCACAACAAACTCAGTCCCACAAGCAGCACACTCCCATAGTGAACCATTTAGTTTGCTGGTGAAAAAATGGTTTCTGGGACACACCCTCTCCCCTGTCGACTCCTTTGAGGCAGCCATGGCCAAAGTGGTTCAAAACATCATTAGGACAACATTAAAATCCCAGGGAAAGTGTTGAAAGAATGTGCCGATCAACTCTGTGAGGTGCTGGCAGACATCTTTAACATCTCACTTACCCTGGAGACGGGTCCCACCTGCCTGACGACTGCCACCATCATCCCAGTCCCTAAAAGCTCTACAGTGACTGGTCTGAATGACTTTCGGCCAGTGGCCCTCACCCCGATAGTCGCTAAATGCTTCGAAATACTGGTCATGACTCACATCAAAACAACCATCAACATCAACGAGGACCCTCATCAGTACGCATACCGTGAGAACCGATCAACAGAGGATGCCATCTCCTCTGTGGTCCACACTGCGCTCAACCACCTGGAGCAGAAAAACTCTTACGTCCGTATGCTCTTTGTGGACTTCACATCTGCCTTCAACACCATGATCCCCACAACCCTGATGGACAAACTACTCACACTAGGACTAAGCCCCTTCATTTGCAGCTGGGTCCTTGACTTCTTAACAAACAGACCACAGTCAGTGAGGATCCACAACTTCTCTTCCTCCACCATAACCCTCAGCACTGGCTCTCCTCAGGGATGTGTGCTGAGCCCCCTCCTGTTCACTCTGCTCATGTATGACTGTGCAGCTACTCATCCAGGCTGTCACATTGTAAAGTTTGCAGATGATACAGCGGTGGTGGGATACATCACAAACAATGATGAGTCCAGCTACCGGCAAGAGGTGGAACACCTGAAGATCTGGTGCAAAGAGAATAACATTCACATCAATGTGAAGAAGACAAAGGAGATGATTGTGGACTTCAGAAGGAACAAACACACCTACACCCTCCTGAACATAAGAGGATCTGCGGTGGAAGTGGTCTCCAGCTACAAGTACTTGGGTGAATGACAACAACACGAATGACAACCTCAGCTGGGGCAACAGCACCACCAGCCTGATCAAGAAAGCTCATCAGAGACTCTACTTCCTCAGATGGCTGAGACGAGCTGGTCTGGGAAGCTCAGTCCTCACCTTGTTCTACAGGTGTGCAGTGAAGAGCATCCTGTGCTACAGCATCAACGTGTGGCATGAAGGCTGCACAGAAGACTGTTGGAGTCAGGCTCCCCACCATCACAGACATCTACACCTCCAGATGCAGGAAGATGGCCACCTGCATCATGAAGGACCCCACTCACCCAGCACACACACTTTTTGCCCCGCTCCCCTCAGGAAGGAGGTTGAGGAGCATTAAGTGTAGAACCACTAGACTGAGGAACAGCTTCTACCCTGAAGCTGTTAGACTCATTAATCTCTAACCAGAATAATCACTGTGAAAAGAATCACATCATGTTGCTGCTGATCAGTTTCAATGTTGCTGCTGATCTGTTTCATGTTGCTGCTGATCTGTTTCATGTTGATGTGTTCATGAATGCTCATCTGCTCACACAGACTTATGCTCATGTTCGTGCTGCTGTTCAACGTTATGTTTTTATGCTATTAATGCTTAGTGTATTTTTAGCTGATGTTTTTCTTAGTTCATATCTTAGATGTTATCATTATTTTTCTTTTACATTTTTATTGTTGGATGTAACTGGGACCCTGTGTACATAATTTCTTTCTACCACATGTACCACATGTGGTGCAAATGACAATAAAGAATCTGACTCTGACTCTGAAAACAAACTGTCCAGATGACCTGACTGAACTTTGTTGGATTTTCTACCTGGATAATTGAGCATGAACTTTGATGTTTTGAACCACTTTGGCTATGGCTGCCTCAGAGGAGTCGATGGGGGAGAGGGAGGGTCCCAGAAACCATCTTATCACCAGCAAACTGGTTGGTCCACTGTGTGGGTGTGCTGCTTGTGGGACTCAGTTTGTTGTGGCGCCTCGGACTGAAGAAGTCCTTTGGATGATAGACAAACGTCTCAACAACAAGGAAAAAAAAAGACATCCAGATGACCTGACTGACTGAACTTTGCTGGATAGTTAGAATTGTTTTTTATTTATTTACAATTCAAATAGCTACTTCTGGTGTTCCCTTATAAATTTATTTGTTTATATATTCTATTTATCCTTTAGTTCTTTCATTTTACAATAATAATGGTTTAGATTTTTTTTTAAAGTTTATTACCGTTTTAAATTGTTTTGCTTAGTATTTGTGCAGTAATACTCTAAAGCACACTGTTGAGCTGAAACCATTTCCTTTTGGACCATGTTGTGTTAGAACGCCCTGGATCACGCAGAGAACCTGACAGCGCTGGGGTTTCACCTCGCCCGTCTGCCCGTGGAGCCGCACATCGGCAAACTCATCCTGTTCGGGGCCCTGCTGGGGTGCCTCGACCCCGTGCTCACCATCGCTGCTTCGCTCAGCTTCAAAGACCCTTTCTTCATCCCCCTGGTAGGGGTGCAGAGTTCACAGACATGAAAGCTTACATTTGCAACAAACACACACTTCAACTCACTTTGCTTCATTCTAGCATCTGACTAGCTTTGTCTGTGGTGCAGAATAAAAAGTTGTTCTTCATGCATCTTTGCCTTTCAGGGTAAAGAAAAGATGGCAGACATGAGAAGAAGAGCTCTGTCCAGAAACTCTAAAAGTGATCACCTAACGATTGTCAACGCTGTGAAGGTAAAACAGCTGCGACCCTGGCTTTTAACGTTTCTGTTTGTTTGTTTTTTTGTTTGTTGTATGATTTGATTTTGTTTTCATTTGTTGTGCTCTGGCCAGGGCTGGGAGGAAGCTAAACGGCGTGGTGCCAGGGCTGAGAAGGACTTCTGCTGGGACAACTTCCTGTCTGCCAACACGCTCCAGGTGAGTCGGGCTGTTCCCAGCTGATGGTGTCTGTTTAGAAAATGAATTTTTATTTTTATCTTAAGACATTTGGCCTTTTTTATTTGTAGATGCTACACAACATGAAGGGTCAGTTTGCTGAACACCTCATGCGCACAGGCTTTGTCAGCAGCAGTGACCCCAAAGACCCCAAGTCCAATATCAACTCAGGTAATGAAGAGAGTATTTCCTGTTGTGCTTTTCTTGTGGACCAGTTCTCATTAGACCTCCGCCTGTCACGTCTTTCCTCAGATAATGAAAAGTTAATCAAAGCAGTGATTGTGGCTGGACTGTACCCTAAAGTGGCCACGATCCGACCATCGTTCAGCAAAAAGAGACCTGGGTGAGTGTGCTTGTTCGAGGACAGACTGTGCAGCAATTGACAGAGAAGTGGACATTTTCTTCTCTTTTTGTCTCTCTCACTTGAAAGACAAATAACCCTCATATTGCAATCATTCATCAGAGCTCTCAGAGTTCTGTAAGGGTCCTGTGACGGTTACCTGCAGCTGTGCGGACCGTTTTAGGAAAACTGTCAAAAGGCACTTTTGCCGCTCGAGATCAATGCAGTCATCACGGAGTGGCCCTCAGGCAGCTGTCAGAGGGAGCAGCTGTGACCTGCGTGCAGAAGATTGATGGCAGGGACAGTGGCAGTTTTATTCATTCAGCACATTTTAGTCCAAAAAAAAAGTCATGTGCCAAACAGGAAGATAACACAGAACCAATGCTTGCTTTTCTCAGTACCACTTTACAATAAGGCTCCCCTTATAGATGCTCATAAATAGTTTATAGATACATTATTAATTCCTCTATAAACACTTTATAAATCATTAATAACTGCCTATTATGCA